AGCAGAGAAAAGTGGAAGCTCTGCCTAAGCAGCTCCTACAATGCTGCAGTGTTTTTTTTGTGTAAATGTATTTCCTTTTATAACCTACCTGCCTGACATTTCAAACATGCACGCAATTTTTCAAGAAACAAAATCCAAATAATTTACTTCTAGAGAAAGGCAATTTCCTGAAAGGTAAAAGCAGGAACAGCATAAAATAGTGTATAAAACCCAAAAATCATAAGCGGGCATGGAACTTATATATATGTGGTTTCTGCATCCTCTGTTGAAATCCCTCCCCACTGGGTATTTTTTATTCTTTGTAAAACTTGAGTTTGGGGCAAGAACTACAAGATGCATACCTGTTTCAGCTGAAATCACAAGTATTTTAAATAGGAGGAATGTACGCAGCAGTATTTGATCAATCATCAGAAAGGTACAAATTTTCTCTAAGCTCCTTAATAGTATAATAATTGGTTCTAAATGTGGAAGTAATAAATAAAATCCTCATTGTTTTGTTCTGTTTTCTTCCTCAGAGAGGCCAAGGTTTTCACATTTTCATTCTCACATTTTTAACAAAATAAAGAATTTGCAGTTTTATCTCATCAATTTTTGATTGCTATCTGCCTGCCCATTATATTGAATTATAAAGTTGTTTCCAAGGAATTAAAAATACTATCTACATTTACAAGGCAATGAATAAAACACCAAAGCAAGTAATTTAGCAAGTAGTTTAGCTTGTGTGTAAAAATTATTGTCATACATGGATGGGATAGCAAATCCAAAAAACCCAATCCCTACCCAGGCAATGATTTTGTAACATGACTTTGCAATTCTAATTTAATGTAGACAACAAGCAGTTGCATGGAAAGGTCATGGAATTGCAATCTACAATTCATCTTAAATCCTAGAAGGAAAAATGCATCTAAATGACACCTAGAAAGTAAAGAATGTCGCTTTATATTACCAGTTCTTACTTACTGCAATTTTGTTGGTCATGAAAATTGAATAAATAATTAAAGAAATCAGAACAAAAATGATGAAATCTATATTTAAAAATATTTAACTATTTCTGAAGGAAAATTCCATGAATTGTGAAACTATTCTTTCTGACTTCAAACACAAATAATTTTGTGGGGATAATACTGGCCTTTCAATGGAGCAGCTGAGATACAACTCAAGGTTATTAGCAAGTTCCTGTAAAAGAATAAAAAAATCATCACAGTGATAACAAAACTGCTATAAACAAAGTGAAACCTAAATGTTGTGAACCAAAAGCATTAAAGAGAATATAAACATAAAATACATTGCACACAGAGTATCACTAGCCAGTTTTGCTGGCTTACACAAATGCTATGCATTTGTCAAGCACTTCATAAAACATGATGTGGGAACAGAGCTGGACAGGTGCTTCTCCAGTGCTGCTGTGATTTTCCTTTGATGATGTCTCCAAGATGACTGCTTTGGAACCACACAGTTCTTACCCCCTGCAGATTAAACAAACTTTCATGACAAAGACATCATTATATGATCCTATTTTTAGCACTGAAGTATGTCAAATCAACCTGGTTTTTCTCTGTAGTACTGCAGTCAGTCTAAACTCCCTGCCAACATCATCTGTCACGCAGTAAAACTAACAGTGCTCAGTCAGGCAGCCTCCACCCTGCCCCTGCCCCAACCCTGCAGCGTCCCAAAAGCCACCCCATGGGCACCGCTCCTGTCACCTCTGCAGAGCAGCAGGGGAAAGGTACTGCAGGGAGCCACCACCAGGGGTGTTTGCCCAGCAGATCGGCCAAAACCAGGCTTTTAAGTCTACTCCATGATTCAGCATCACTTGAAAAGGGCACAGCAGATGAACTGTAAGCAGAAGAGCAAGAGGTCACACATGTGGGCATGACAACCCACCCTGTGGTGGGACCAGAGAAACATCTGCATTTGCTCTTCCTCTGAACATCTCCCCAGCAGCCAAGAAGCAAAGGCACAGACAAGCCCTAACTTCACACACATTTTATACCCATAGATCCAAAAGACACCCAGCAGTTTGCATTTCATTAAGAGACTCCCATTATGCAGGCTTAGCAATTTTCTCTTTTAATTGCTTCTAAAAGCAGCTACTTATCTACTGGAAAACCTTGCTTTCTGCAGCTACAAGGCTGCAGGAATGATTCTGTGCCTTCTATATAAGATATGTATGTCTATATTGTACAGAAGATCATAAATGCACATTTCAAAAATATATATGGCTATTTTGGGTCCAATGTAATGGTTTTTTATGCTTTGACACAATGCAAAATCCAACCTAATTAATATATATCCAGAAATCTAAAATCCACTAATTTCATGGTAAAATGTCCAGGGTTCGATTTGTTTGTACACTTTCAGTGACTAAAAGAGCTAACTCATAAATAAATGAAGCAGGAAAAAAAAAGAAAACTCATCTGCGTAGATGGAGAGACGGTGTTTAATCTTCCAGGAGTTAAAAGAACCAGAAGATTGAATACTGCAACATGATGACAGCCTGCCAATCCAGTGAAATAATCAGTATTTTTTACTAAATTTCAAGCATTTCTAAAGCTAATTTCTGAGTTGATGAAAAAGCTCCTACAGAATTGGAAAAAGTTGGCTTCAACCTGTCAAGAAATCCTATTTTATTGTAAAAAAAATCAGATTCAGCTTGAAATAACTTCTCTGCAGACAGGCAGGCAGACCTGTAAGCCTGAATCAAATCAACTGCCTTTTAAAAAAATTGCATTCACAAAACCCCCCAAAATTTAGAATTTTTAAAATGATTCCTTCAGAATCCAATCCAGCACTGACATTAAAAAAATCCTCAAATTGTAAGGGAAAAAATTACAATTTTTATAGGGTTTTTTTCAACTGTGCACCAGCTCAAGTACTCATTAAACATAGGCAGGGAAACTTCTTCCCAACCAGCTCTAAACAAAATTATTTTCCTCGTCACTTTATTACCATGGTAACTCTGGGCTGTGGGGTCAGAGAAAAAGCTAAATACCATTTTTTTTTCAGCAGCTGGTGTTTGTTAGGAGGGCTTGCCCAGAGGTATGTATGGTGTAAATGAATGTGTGTCCTGTGCTCCTGGGCAGGAGCTGGAGCTGCCTGTATCTGCCTACAGGTTTCCAGAGGATGATTCTTTGTAGGATGACAGGATCATGCAGGAGGCCTCCAATCCAACCTGCTGCCCAAAGCTACAAGATCAGGGCTTTATTCAAGAAAAGCTCAGAGGATGGGAATGGCACAACCTTTGAGTAACCTTCTCCACTGTTTGATTTCCCATGGTGAAAAAGTTTTGAGTATTCATTGTGAGCCTCTCTTGTTTGAGCCTATGCCTGTGTCTCTCTTCCTCCCACCGTGCACCACAGTGCAGTGCCCATCTGTGCTCTCCATACCCTGCCCCTCCGTGTCAGGTGATGATGGGACATCCCCCACCCCAGCCTCTCATGGCTGTGCAGGTGCAGCCACACTTTCCTCTCAAGAAATATAACAGGAAAAGCAAGAGGGTGTGTGAAAATACATCTCTGGATTATTTCCAAAGCCATAGAACTGTGCAAATAATTTCCTTACTTCTTAAAACCAGTGAACACTTTGGAAGTGGGGCTCAAAAGGCACCCAGCACTCGAGAGAGCAAAGCTGCCCTCAGTTAGAGCTGAACACCCTGAGTTAGTACAGTGAAAAATCTCCAGGCCCTATTTTTCTGGTATCTGGACTTCTTGCTGTCAAAGCACTTGTATACAGTTCATGTAAAGAACATAAGTAATTTCCTTCCCTTCTTTGCATCTCATGTTTCCATTGCTCCTGACAGCTTGACTCAGACTGGTTACCCAAATGGCAGCTTTCCAACCCAGGAGACCCTGAGAGAGGTACATGTGAACACACACATATACCCATGCAGGAACCTACCTGGACTTAGTAATAATCAATAATTAAAAACCACCAGGTTGACAACTGAAAATAAACTAAGTGAGCCTAAACTATCTGTATTTATGCAGATGTAAGAATTTAATAATTAATAATCAGTAATTAAATAATCAGTAATTAAAAACCACCAGGTTGACAACTGAAAATAAACTAAGTGAGCCTAAACTATCTGTATTTATGCAGATGTAGGAATGTACAGAGGTTGTGCTGGATGAAATGTTTATGTAGCACTATATTGAGCAATGGGTGGGTTGTCAGAATTGGGATTATGCAAAGAGAATTATACTACTTATCAGCCATCTAGAAGTTAGGGATTTAAGAGTTTTCTATCCACCATGGCCAAGGATCTTGATGGATTTGTCTTCCATGACCTCTCCAATGCTTTTTGAACCCATGATATGCACAGCAATCTATTAAAATGAGCTCTACCATTTATTTATGACATATGCAGAAGAAAATTAATTTATTTTAAGCTGCTGCATGATGGCCACCCTGGGTGTTCTATAGATCCTGCACAACAAAATCCAGCAAATTCCAGACTCCTAATTACCTTTGAATCATTCACAATGTTTTATAGGTCTCATCCCTCTTTCTGAGTCATCCCTCTCCCAAGGTAAAGAAGCTGTACTTACACAGCTGCCATTCTCTGTCTCTCATCCTTTTTGTTCCCTTTCTTTGCATCTTTCCTATACCTGATAGACACATCTTTGAGATGAGGAATTCAGGCATGTGCACACATAGTATAGATGAGCTATAGGATTTTACAATGGCATCGTAAAATGTGGTCCATTTATTTCCCCTTATTTTCTAACATTGTAGTTAACATTAAATTCAAAAGAATACAGAATGGACTCTACAATTTTGACCTAAAAATTGCAACCACTGAGAAAACAGAGCTATTTCTCTAACATGAAATCCTGAACATACATATCTGCTCTGATGAAAATATAATGAAAAATCCAGAAAATTATAATGGCATTATCTGATCCTAGAAGGTGTAAAGTTAGTTACTTTACAAATTTGATGGGAAACCCATTCAGTTTGGATCAATAAGGACTTCAGAAAATCACAACACAAAAGCCTGCTGACAGATTTAATATAAATGTGCTTTATTGCAGAGAAGTTACATTATTTACATGCTGCAACACATTACAACATAAATCTATCAAGTATTTCATGGTGGATGCTGTTGGTTGCCAGATAACATTGTCATAAGAACCACATTATAAAGTGAAGAGACTTACAGCTTTATATGCTCTACAACTTGGAGTAGCTAAAATTTTAAAAGTCAAAGGCAGTGTTTGCTCAGGCCTGCCTGTTGTCGTATGCATGCAAAAGCCTAAGGAGAGCAAATATAAATGTCTTGTCTGGTTTCAGGTCTATGATGCCACCAAAGCTGATGATAGGTGTGTACTGATTTATATTTTAAAGCGCATAATCTTGCATAAATTATACAAGTCTAATAAGATTGGTATAAATCTAATTACTTATAAACCATGGCTTAGAAATGAAGGAGAAATGCAGCTTGCACATGCATTTAGAAGGACAACCTAGCAAATGTTTGTGACCTTCGTGTTTATTGTCTTTTCTCTTAACAGATCTGCTAGAGAACACGTTTATACCATCTTTACTCTAGAGTTGCACTTCTCTTGGCTGAACAATGACAGTGAAATTCCAGAAAAAGACACCTAAGCAATCTAGTCAATATATGCTGGTGGAGAAAAATCTATGAAATACAAAACATATTTATGTCTAACTTAGTATGTCTTCATTAAGCAATGCTTCTAGCAGCATCATAGTGAAATAGAATAGTTGAGTGAAGTTTGGCCCCTCATTTTCTTAAATGTGAAATAATTTAAGTCCCAATTGAATCTGTAGCCCAAAGATCAGTTGCTCAATAAACTGGGGAAGCTTTTTTGTTTTCTTAAGGAAAGTTTTCCAATTGTGTCAGTCTTAGGGGAGGATGTGACTAAATGAGCCTAAAGAACCACAACAGACAGTTTTTAAGAAGTGAGGGAAAGGGTCAGCATGAAACAAATCTAAACCAAATGAGAATATACAAGCCAATGCCTTCCCTGGTTAACCAGCCATTGCTTTTTGCTTTCTGTGCAGATGGGCTGTTTTACACCAGCCAAGGAGTGGGCTTTGTTTCTGTGTTTCTAATGAAGTTATCTTTCCAAAGAGAAAGAAAGGGAACAGAAACCAAGCAAGAAGAGATACACAGCGGTGGCACAGACACAGTCATGCACGAAGGGCTTAATCCTGCCAGGAACACAAGGGGCAGTGGTACTGTGGGGACACTTTGCCAATGTGGATCCCCTCGTCCTTGGTGCACAAGGCATCCTACAGGCTCCTGCAGAGCAGGGCATGGGCAGTGTGGCCTTGCTCAGCTCCGAGGTAAAGGATGGAGGGCCAGATGAGCAAGGGCACGAGGGCTGGTACCTGCTCCTTGCAACCACCTGTCTCCAAGAGGCAGTGAGTACATACAAAGACCTCCTTCCACAATCCCTTTGTGTATGTCCACTTCTAACTCACAGTGGGGCTCCTGTAAATGAGCCAGGGCAGCCTGCCATAAGCTGGCCCCCCATCCCAATCCCAAAAACCACTGCTGAGACTGCAGAACTTCCCTTCAAGGATAGGAGACGTGTGAGCTTGTCACCTTTTCAGCAGGTTTAAAATTGTGTATATCTCTGCACACAGGGTCAGTGTGCTCCTAGAGGCCTCCCAAAAAGCTCTGTTCCTAGGATAGACTTCTTCCCATGGAAATTTAGGGTTATTTTCTCTCAGAAAAGCTGATCAAGTCCCACTGAAGCTGACAAAACAAGTTACAGACAAATCCCATGAGTACCTGGGACTGGGAAGGGAGAATCTGAGCACACCAGGTCTTAATCTCAACTCTTTTCCACACCGAGGACAGAGCTGGATTTGGGCTGCACATAGGATGGCAGTGGCCCTGTGTGTGCAAAGTGAGTGCAGTGACATCCAATGCACACAGACTCTTATGCCTGACTCCCTTTCATGGGAGGAACAGGGATTCTGGATTGAAGGGTCCCAGTCAGATCTCCTAGACCATAATTATGCCCTACAAAAGAGGTGTGGGAGAGTCAGACAAGCGCAGGGTAGTAAAGACCTAAGTCAGCACACCCCCGAGGTGGAACTGAGCACTATCCTGGATAACCAGGTTGGCTGGGGCAGTTTAGTCACTTAATCTGGAGCTAATAAGCAGAATTTGTAAGTGAGGTAACATGTTTAGACAGCACCAAGACCTGAGTCAGCTTGTCCCCAGCTGGCTCAGGTGCTGGCACATGTCAGGTTTGGGCTTAGCAGCGGCAGTAGGAAAATCAGATCAATCTTGATCTGTCAGTCTAGACATGCCCATAATCTCCTCTCCTTTTTAAAGGACAGAAAAATTCTCATGCCCAGGTTGTCCAAGTCCCTCTGCTCATTGCATTTTATCTTAAGCCACTTTTTCTATGATGCCACAAAAATCAGTTTATACTACATACGTGTATGTGCATGTGTGTATTAGATATGACATTTATATATATATATTAAACATATATAAATATCTATTTTTATATTTTATATATATATTTAACAACACGTTCTATTCAATCATCCACATTTCATGTTCTTCCACCGAATCCCATCACTTCTCTCAAATTGCACAAGTTCTTTAGGACTAAACTGTCTTTGTTTTGGAGTACACTATGTACAGCCAATTCCTGTGAACAGCACTTTACTGGTACTGCATTGAGATGGCTGGGGCTGTTTAATTACTGCTGACACTCCTCAGAAGAGTTCAACATGTCCTCAGGCCCTGATGGTGAACTGTCACTAAGACTCATAGTTGTGAATGGGCCACTTATGAATTAAGCTCATATGCAAGATGAGGACTGTAGCTATTGCTGAAAAGTAGCACTGTATCAAACAGTAACTTTTACTGTAAATGTACATATAAATTTTAAAAAACTCAAAGCATTTTGGACAGTTGGAGAGAGATGCCATAATTTCTGTTCTCAGTATCGCTTACATTTGCATATATGGGGGAAGAGTAATATTTTGGAGTTCTCACTCCAAGAGCCAATTTTTTGAGGTTTGCCAACAGGGATAAACAGTACAGTGTTGTTCCATAAATAAAATACCTCCCAGAACTGTCTGGTTTTAGTAAAACATGTGATCATTTCTGGGGTATATTCACTGTCATTCTTGCTTGTCTTATTTAACAGGATAGGTTCAGTATGAAATACTGAACAAGATCATCACCATCGATGTTTAAAGTAAGATTTCTCGTTTCTTAGATGATGTTTTTCAATTAGTAACAAAAAACCCAGATAAGTTGTCCTACCAGTATAAACAGCTAAGACAACCGAATTTCCACTATTAACAAAGTCTATGAGCATTAACAGGGAAGTGCATAACTTACTGCATATAAAACCCCTGAATAATACTGTATCAAACTATAAATATAAATAACAGAGAGCAAACAAAAAAAATCACTATATAAATTACAGGAAAGAAAAAAAAAAATAATCTCCAAAGCCCAAAAGAATTTCCCAGTATGAATTGTGGCTTCCATAACCAGTGAAAGATTACTGCAATTCTTTATATAAACAAAAAGGTCTACAGTAGGTATTTTAACTTGCAATTAGAAGACAGTATCTGCAGATTGCATAAATATGTTGTTGTGTCACATAATATCAAAGTTATTTGCAAAAATTATACAATCTGGAATGCTTTAATATGAGACACAACAATGTACTTAAACACACAGTAATAAGAAAATGAAAGCAATCATTCTATAAAATATTCTTGGGATGCATTGAGTTAGCAGTGCTATTTAGATTAAATATGTAAAGTGAAAAATCATCACTTTAATAAGCTGCTCATTGGTACCCCTTTTTGCCATCAGGACATTTTCTGTGTCCCACTTCTGCTGGATCTTTAAAGTCCCAAGGGCAAGTTACAGCCAGGTACGGCATCCAGAAATAATTTGGTTAAGATCTACACTGTGCGTTTGTTATCATCTTATTATTTTTTCTTTTAAAAGACAATTGATTTCACAAAGGCAGATTTCTTCATTGACACAGTAAAATCCTTGGAGCAGGGACCATATTCTGGGCACTGCTAATCACATTGTTGGCACTCAACATATAAATAATAACAACAATAATGATAATTTACTTTGCTTAACTCCTACATATTTGTAGTGCTGATTCCCTTGATATAAGTGATGCTCCTTAGGAATTTTCAGATCCTTTTGGCCTAAGTCCCCTCTGTCTTTCCTGTTTTCTGTCTTCTCAATGTTGCTACTCTCCTCAGTCCAAAAGCCTCTTATTTTCGAGATGCTGCTGTTTTATTTGCACTTATAGCAGAGGTGTTCAAGAAAGCTACACTTCTTTCTGCATTTGGTAAATCTGCTGTATCATACTCCCAAGGGCAGACTTCAGCTCGAGATGCTAAAGGTTGCTGTACGTAACTACTTGGCTTATGGGAGTTAGATGAAAGCACATTTCCCTCAGAAGAGGCAATTTTTTTCTGTTCAGCCAATTTATTGAGGTTTTCCTTTTCTGCTGTTTTCTGGGGCGGCTCGTCCCGCTCCCCAGCACAGGTATTAGGTGTATTCCTATTAACATTCTCACACTTCAACCCAGGAGAAACCTGGGACTTGGAATTTGACTGATTTTTCTCATTTTCCAAGATCTGCTGCTCTTGTGTCTCCTGAGTGGCTGCTTCCACATTCTCTGAGCTCTTTTGATTTGACTGTTGGTACCCCTCAGGTGTCTTCAGCTTATGATGAGTCTTCCCCTTTGGCTGGGAAGGGTGGTTTTTCTCTGGCTCTGAGGAAGCAATAGACACATGTTTTTGAGCTTTAGAGTCAAAAGGCACAGGACCAGGAACTTGGTCATATATCTCCCAAGGACAAACTTCTCCTATGTTGAAATTGTCCTGGTGCAGAGACTTACCTGGGCCTGTGTCTGGATTTGCAGGTGTTTGACTAACCCTTTGCTGTTTTATAATTCCAGATTTATGGGTTTTCTTTGCTTCCTCAGACTGGGTAGAGTTTTTCCGGTGGGAATCCTTATGTTCCCCTTTATCGGAGGCTGAGTGCTTTTTGCTTGCCTCCTTACCCTTCTGCTGAGATTTATGAGATTTAGTGCTTTCTTCTAGACTTTGTGTTTTACCTGTTAGTCCCAGAGTCTTTTCCTTGGCACTAGCAATAACACTGAGGGATTTTTGTAACACAGATGTTCTTGGATGCAGAGGCTTCTTATCGGCACTTAAATTATGCGCACTTACTGATTTGCACACTAAAGGGACCGATTCAGTAGAGACAGCTTCAACTTTTTCAGGAGCATTTTTGGTTAATTTGTTACCATTCAAGGAGTCCAGAAGTGTTTTCTCAGAAGCTATAACTTCTGCACTTTCTGTAGTTAAGCCATTTGGTTCTTCTGTTTGATCCCTAACATGATCGTAAGTGCTGTGGGACTTTTTTAAGGAAAAGACTCTGTTTTTCAAAGTATCTTCTTTTGGCTTTGGAGAACTTGTGGAATCTGGTGGGTTTTTCTTCAGTGTGGCCAAGTTCTTCACAGCACTGTGCTCCATCAGGTCCTTCTCGTCCCTGGAGCACTGCCTGGTGACTGTCTCAGGGATTTCTGTAATACGCCGCATTATCGAGCGCCCCAAGCCCTTTTTAGAGCACCTTTTTTTCTGGAGATGTGGGTTATTAGCAATCATCTTTTTCCTTTTATAGATTTCAAGCTGAGCGTATAGTTTCTTCAATTCATCCTGCAAAGCAAAGTGAATGGCAATACTAGTATTTACACAGTGACTACAGTCAAACAAGCAGCCTGATGAATACAAGACACATTGCTCTAAAAAGGGCATTAAACTCATTTCACTGTCTTTTGTAATTCTTGAATATGCCATTTCTCCATCAACTTGAATTCCATTTTTTACCACTTAAAAAAAAATTCAACTCTCACGCACAAACAAGTTACTTTCCACAGCATGCACACTTCATACTCATTTATGCTGTTTCAGATTTCACAATGCTGTAGTGTATGATTTCCTGATGAACTTTATAGCTATTCTAACTCTATAGTGTTTTGTTCTTAGAACATAAGGCCTTTAATCATGTAAAATAAGAATGAAGTAATTTTCTCCATTAATCAAGTTTTAAATTTTTTATATATATCATTATAGTTATATATGCTTATGTATATGTTACATACAAATGACTAATTAAAATGAAGCCAAAAAACTGTTTGCACTTCAAAATAATTCAGAGAATCTATGTAAACTAAGTAACAGCTCTTGCTGATGATGATTCCTTCTCCTTAACCACCACAATGACTTTTACTACAACTAGTAATGCAGCATCTCTTCACACTAGTAAATTCTGAGACTTTACATGACCTGATACCACAATCATAAAAGATCTAAGCTGGTATTTTTCAGCTGATATCTGCAAAGAGAAACAAATGCATGCAAGTTGGAGTTTTCTTCTAAGAAAAAGTGCTCTTGAAAACAAATGCTATTTAAATGAGTTCTATGTACCCGAATATCTTCAGGATCCAAACTATGTTCACTCCATGCTGAGTTGATACTGCTGTTCAGATAGGATCCAGACCGACCCATATCAAGCTCATCTTCATAAGCTTCTGTAGCTATATCATCTCTTGGGTTATTGCTTGAATGTGAAAACTGCAATAAGTATTCACAAAAAAAAAAATGTTGCCATGAATGCAAAAGTTTACTTCAACATCAGTGTAAGAGCTTATAACAATTTTTATGGTACAATGACCCTTGTATAGATTTGACTTGATTCTCAAACTCAAAACATTACTTAAGCTTCATTGACTTAAGTAGTGTCCTATAGAGTCTCAGTATTGCATGGAAGGAACTCTTAATAATGATGGCTTAACATGATAAATCTTAGAGATTTGCATAAGGAAAAAAATTCTCTACTTATTTTGATACTTATTTGACCCTCTTTAAATGGCATTTCAATTAAAGTGGCATGAAAATAGACTTTCAAACATTATTTCCAATAAGGCTGCTAAAACAGTAAGACACTATTTTATACAATATACATTTTAATAATCCTGCAAAAAGCAGTTGTCCTATTTTAGATCCTAACCCTGCAAATGAAGACATAAGGTGGGGAAAAAACTAACACAAAAAAATGAAAAAAAAAAAAAAAGGAAAGAAATTAATGAAAAAGTAGACAGCTATTTCCTTCTATGTTTCACCATATCCTTGAATCAGGAGCTGGAGTGAGGTTGTCATTGTTGTTTTGTTCATATTGATTCACTCATCTGAATTTACTATTGTCCACATAGTCATCTGTCTTCAGGACTTTATGAACAGAACTAAACCTTGTGAATCTTAATTTTCTGAATTCTTGGTGTGTTGGAAGAAAAGTCTATGCAGTCTAACAGAGATAAAAAGCTAAAAATGAAAATGCTGGTCAGTAGTTATGAGTCAGCTTCAGAAAGGTCAACAAATTTTCTAGGCCAGTTTAATTAGATGTCTCTGAAGACATGTAATATATCTGAAGATATGTAATAAAGTATATGAATATAAAACAGAAGATATAATATTATTGCTAAAGTCCAGAAAAGTAATTTAAAATAAAACAAGGTTATGCAGTTTTAAGGCTGCATCAATGGGTCCCTTGTTACAACTGTTTAATGTACATATATTTGACAGTCATCAGCATACCCTGTTCTGACACACAGGAAAAAGACAGGAATAGCAGCCTCATTAACCTGAAAATTCTATCAACCTGAACTGCTTAATGCTCTTTCTTCATATGTAGCTTTCACCTTTACTGCTATTTTGACTCTTGAGTTTCTGATTTATATGATTAGTCATTTCAAAGCCCAATACAAAGTCATTCCTTGTGCTGGGGTACTGTCCTAAGGAAGTTCCACTCCATTCCTGGGCACTGTTGCTAGGGACAGGAGGAGCCACTTGCAGATCTCCTGCCCCTGGTGAGATGACACTGGGGCTTCCAGGAGGTGTCTGGGCTGCAGCTCGGGGGCTGCCTGTGCTCTTCCCCAACTCCTGCCATCACCATCTCCTGTGCCCCCACACACCTCTCTTGGCACCCAGCACTGCTTCTGGCTCCCTGCCATGGCCATGTCTCCTCCCAGTGTGCAGCACTCCCTGCCAGTGCACGTCTCCTCCTGTCTGTCCAAGGCTCTGACTTGCAAAGGCTCCTCCTTTTTCAGCCTGGTTTAAATCCCTACCTCCACATCTCATGGCTAGTCCAGCCTCCTGATCCCAGTGGTTCTACGCCCTTGCCTAAACTCTTTGTCTGTTCTCAGCTAACTCTAACAGCAGCATGGTCATACAAATACCTAAAAAAAGAGTACAATTAGGCAGGATTCTTTCCTTCTTGTATTAATCATATCAACATTTTAAGTACTTTAAACTCCTGGAATTTTGAAAGCTGAAAGAATGAAACTTTGAAAATGTATACTTTTTAAAAATAAAAACAATACAACTTTCAAGGTAAAATAGCCAGATTTTACTTCCTCCTTTTCTATCAGTTGCTGCTAGATTTACATAGAAATGCATCTGCATGACAACATTTATTTTCCTCTGTCTTGGCAAAAGAAAAGAGACAGCAGACTCAAATACCTTAGGGATCAGAAGTAGCCCAACAGTGACTGTCACAGTCAAATGTGTGTGTGCAAAGAACAGCATCAGCATCCAGTCAGACTGAAGTCTTGAAGAAAGAATGAATCTGAAAATAGAATTCGGGGTTGCAATTCACTGCATTTCTCCAGTGCATTAGATTTAATATCTTTAGTATTCCTTAGGTTTCTTTTCACTGAATGGCCAAACACAACTGGTTTTGTTCTATACTGCTTTCATACAGACTAAAAATTACATCCACACACTTTCCATATATACTAAAATTTCAAAACATCTCTGAAAAAAAAAAACAATCAACAAACCAAAATATAAAAAGAAACAACAGGCTTCAAATTATACTGCTTATTCCATATTTCTCACTCTATTGAGCTGTCTCTTTTTGTTTTGTGTATATTGTCACAGTTTCTTTGGCCTGAGTTACGGTAGCTTACATACATTAAGGAGCTGAAGGGATGGTTTTAGGTTAAGCACATGTGCTATGATGAATTGCAGTGCACTTTATAAACACAGGATGTCCACAGATCACAGCTATTGAGTGCAGCTGATAAGCCATCCAAGGAAGAACTGAACTGAAATGCATTTTAGCAGGGAGCAGAGAAATGATCTTTATAGCAGGACCACACAGCTCACTGCTGCGGGATCCAAGAGCCTGTGAATGCTTGGAAATGAGTGGCTGAACTTCTCAAACAAAACAGTTCCTTGCTGAGCTTTCTAAAGGAGAGGTAGAAGAAGCAGTGCACTTAAAGCTGGGGCATGCTTGGCTTGTCTGCTTTAGTGAGCTCCCAAAGAGCAGTAAGCAGTGCAACGGATGAGCGGATGTGCTGCTGGCTTGCAATTTTCAGGTTTACAAAAATCATTCAGACAGAAATGACATTTGCAACTTATCCAAGTTCACAGATGCACATTTTGAAGAAGCTTTTGTTAACAGAAATAGTTTGGCATGAAACACTGGCTTACATGCTGTAATAATACAGTCATAATTACTTGTTTAATACTTTGTAAATGCAATGTTTTATGAACAGAACAAAATATTCCAATTAATTAATTCCTAGAGACTTCCTGTTGTTTTGGGGCATGAGAGAACATGAGGAGGCTCAGGCCTGAGATTCAGCAAACTGAACACATCTGCACTGATGAAGATGACATGAGAAATTGATGGATATAACAAATAACAGAGCAAAAAGTGAACAAAAGTTATAGACAGTGCTATAAGGGATGGCAGGATTTCACAGGTGGTTAATAGGGAGTCATTTGAAAGATGGCCAAACTTCACAGGTAATTGAAGGACCTTCGAGGGAGCAGAACTTGCAAGGTCAGTGGCACTGACCATATAAACATACATAAACAGCAGATAATATTGTGATTACCTAGACAATGGCATCACAGATGCCAAATTTGAGTACAGATGTAGGAAAACTGTGATCAATAGGAAAAAAAAAAAAAAGAGGGTGGGTTGTTTATTTGGAAGACAAGGACTGGGACAGATAGAGGATAAGGTAGGTGGGGGGGGAAAAAGCATGGAAAGAAGGGGGGGATAAAATGGCTAGTGACATGTAAGCAAGTTCTCACCGAGCTCTGTACCTGATGTACCTCCCATCTCCTCATTAAATCCTTGTTATGTGTGATACCACTCTCTGCATGCTGCGTGTGCAAGTGATGAACAAACCTCAGGCAGCACATGGGTGATGGCCCCTGGGAAGACCCAAAGTGTCAGCCCAGGCCCAGCTGCAGAGGAGGAACAGGACTGTGTGTGTTGAACCTGCACTGGCCCCTGTGGCCAGCCAGGTGCTCTGTGACTGCCCCAACGTGGATTTGCTCAACCTGCAATGGAGCCATCAGCAGCCAGATCCATCAGACAGACCAGAGAAAGCACTCACATCCTGATGACCACTGCATTTGGTTAACCTTCAACAGATCCAATCCTCAGATTCTGTGAAGGGTTTTTTGCTTGCTTTATGCTGGACACTTGGCTGATTAAGGTCTCTATGCCATACTATGCCTCTGAATGCAAAATCACATTTTTAGTAGCCATTCAGACCTAGCAAAGATAGGATTCTATTTGAATGAGATTTTTTCCATATTAATTTTGGGTTTCTCAGTAATATAAGAGAAAGAGAAATGCAGGAATTTAATACTATGATGATCTGAAGATAATCCAGAATCCTGTTTCTGAAATTAGAATACTTCATAGGAAAACATAATGCAAACACTTCAAGGTTTTATTTAGTGCTCACATCAATCTTCTATGAGCTTTGGGAGTTTTCAAAATGGATGGCTGTCTTGTAGGTGTCCTTCAAGGCTCCAGTACTTTCAACTTCATGACAATTCAGGTATGTCATATAAATCTAAGTTTTACATTTCTGCCCTTTCAGTTGCATCCAGAATTTGGCAGGGAAGATGGAAGCAAAAAAAAAAAAAAAAAAAAGAAAAAAGAAAAAAGGGAAATGGATTAAGAGTTGTGCGTGCAGAAATGGACATAATCTCAGGAGGGATCCTGGACATTTTTTTCAAACTTATCTATAAACACTACACAATACTTCTTCAACAAACCAGCATATATCAGACAGATGGGAAAGAATCAATACAAAATGTACATTAAAAAAAAAGAAAAGAAGGAAGAATAGGATCAGCAGACCTTAGGCTGCAAGCACAGGATTGTCAATAAGACAAACTGAAAGACTTAATCCCTTTGTGTCTCCTTCATAAGGAATGTATTAAAATGCCACATTTCTCCCTTTTCCCCCTTCTTTCATCCAAGGTTATTTGCCTCCTGTTCTATTGTTAAAAGAAACTTGCAGCCTACAAAAATACCTCTGAACTGTATCTTCTAATAGGGCTCAAAACACAGTTTAGGAATATAAATTAATGAGGGAAAAATTGACTGAGAAGCCATCATATTGGTTCTAATAAACTCAAAAGTATTGTAAATAAATTTTACATCTATCAGGAATGAAAAGGAAAATGCTGCCATCAAATAAAGATTTTAAACAATAACTTTGCAGATGTTTGTGTTAGGGAGTATAGATTTTGCGTGTATGTGGATGTTGAAATACAGGGTTAGGAGAAGGGGAAGGAAAAACAATGGCATGCCTGAAAAATGCAGTGAACTGTGTAAAAATGATAAGAGAAAAGAGCACCAGGAAGGAACAGAGATGAAGGATTTACTTTGCTGATGTTTACTCAGAAAAAACCATGAAAGAAAAAATCAAGCAGACACGGAGAAATGTTAGTGCCAAGACAGAACAAAGAAAAGAGAACGGTATTTGAAGACTGTCAATGAAGTAATGTAAAAAAAAAAAAAAAATCTTAGTAGATAAAGTCTGATAGGAGGCAAAAGAAGGTCTGAGAATGTCAGAAGAAAGTTTTAAGAGGTTTTACAGGATGAGATGAAACTCATGTTTTCTCGCTCTTTTGCATTTTCTAGGACCGATTCATTTTTACAGGGTACTCTGTAGGAAAGCCAGATTTAGTAAATTTTCATGTAGCCCTAGAAAAGACCCTTATTTATTTGTTACTACCCAAATAATTTACAAGTATGAAATGCAAAGCTCATTATAGACTCCAGAAGAAACATGGGTTTTATATTACTAATACAGCATCATATGTGTAACAATTTTTTCATGTCAGCATATAAAACACTATGCTTCATGCCCAAACCAGTACAATAATCTTAACATATAGCTGCAGCTCACCAATCTGTTACACATCAGCAAAAGTTCATACAAACCAACATTCTTACCTGCTGTTTCTCTAGGGATACTAAACAGTGAGCGGTATGTAGATGACTGAAGACATACAGTTGTTTTGCTAATTTATCATATATACTGAACTTTGATCTAAGAAAATATCATCTAACTATACTGGAGAAAAAACCCTAATTATAAAATTTCATATTCTTGGATCCCATGTGAACAGTTTTAAGTTTAGTAAGGACTTAATTTGCAGAAACAAATATTTTAAGGCCTTCCATTATGTATCCTCTCCCATTCACCCACTCTAAGTTACACCATATGAAACCTGAAAAATAAATGGTTAATTACTAGATCTACAAATCACTTGCCTAATTGTATGGAATATAGCAGAGATAATGAGCTCATTGTGAACTGCAACAGCCATATAACGTGGCTCATGAAATGCTGATGGGACTGTCCGCACTGCATAGCAGAGATAAACACCCCACAAGAGGAATAAAAATTCAGCTGTGAGAAGAACAAAAAGAAATAATTTGCAATTAGTTTTATAGATGGAAGGAAATTTGAAGCACTACAGTATCTTCTGTATGTGTGAGTATCTATGCAAAGACAATACATATGTATATAAGTACATACATAGACAGTCAAACTCTTTTGGATATTGTCAGTGTACATGAGATATTTGGTTTTAAGTTCACTCACATCAGAAACTCTTGCGTTCATGGTATTTCAGTTTTTTAATTGACAAACTTTGAGACAATGTCTAAAAATGTCTTGCTTGCTTTTATAATTGGTACTACAGAAGTCTGACATCACTTCAAATAACAAGGAGTTTTAATTGTAGCTCTGGTTCTTCTTATAGAGGCAAATATAGTGCTATGACCAAACTTAATGCTTTTTAAGACAACACTTTCATTTCAAAGGTTTATAACTTAGATAAAACAAGATATTTTGTGTTTAAAAAAGTCCTCTGTTCAAGACAGTTATTTCTGCTGGCACCCATAATATGACAAGTCACTTCTGAGGGTCTAATGCACTTAAAGCAATGATGTGTTTCTTTTAGGAGAAAAATGAGTGAAGGAAGAAAGAAGAAAAAGTAGGGTGTCTGGATCAGCCTGAGCTATTCAGTTAGAGAATCTATCTGCACCCAGCAGTACACTGACTTCAGCTTCCAGTGGACAGCCTGATGTGACATCCTTTTGACTTTGATATGAATGATTTCCTAAGCACCTCAAAAAAAAAACTCCCAGAAAAAAAAAAAAAAAAAAACTACAGCTCTGTCATGCAGTTATGAGCAGAGCTGGTGCCAGTCCCTCTTGCCTTGCAGTCTGGGTTGACAGTGGCTGAAAGTGTTTGAGTGTCACCCAGTAATGTGCAGTTCCATGTTAGACCCCTACACTGCCAGCACTGCTCCAGACCAGCTTCAGAAACTGTGATCCCATTGCTACTCATACACTGCTTTTGTCCTGTTGAATTTTTGCAACAGAAACTACAATTAAATGCAGTATAATAGAAAACAAATTCTTTTCCAGACTTCTTTTCCCAATAATTTTTCTATACTGTAACTAAATCTGGTGATCAGTGACATCACCCTGAGGAAGTCGTCAGCAAATAATTACTGATCTGGTTTCAGTAATGACACAAATGCATGTGAACCCCACCATTAACAACAGACTAAAATATAATGTCAGCACTGGATATCTCATTAGAACACACCCTCCAGTTCCTCCACTTTTAGGAGTCCATGACTGCTGTAACTTACCTATAATATATTGTTATACCATTTTGAAACTTCTACTTTTGCTGTTAATTCCAGCTAAAATAAATAAAGACCAGTCTGGATAAAATTAATTCAGTCACATAGATCTCTCATAACTCAGAACAACACTTTGCAAACTTCTTAATGAAAAATATATGTCCTGTCTCCAAGATCCTAATTTTACTAGAACACATCCTTCATAGACCCAGCAGTCTTACCAGTTACATAAACCCAAACATCTGAAGGGGCATAATCCATCCATATTGATCGTTTTGTGATCTTCCTCACCAAATCCCAACAATAATCAGCTTTTTGCTCTATTGACTAAGTTGATTTGAGGTCTTACTGAGTGTCAAAATGAAAAAAAATCTTGGAATGAATCTTCTGAGACTGTGTGTCCCAGCCTGGTTTTGAGCTCAAGAAAAGCACACATGCAGGTATATTTTTCCCAAATTACTCATACACTTGGGCAAACTGGCTGCTACTTCCATTTAATTTCTAGAAAATTAGCTATGCCATAAATGAAGTCTATCGTTCTGGTTTCTTAAAAACTCCTGCACAAAACAACTTACAAAGCTTTCTTGATCCTGAAGTCTTTCCTGACCAAGTGGAGTCCAAATTCAGCTTCAATGAAATAAGAATAAAGGTTTTTTACAAATCTTAGCAGTCTGGGTTTTTTTCTTTAGGTAGTTGCCTCACATATGCAGAATCATGGCACTGAAATGTATTGCTCTTCAAATGACTGTAATTGACTGCTTTAATTGCTCCCTAATAATTTAGAAGAAATTGAAAATCAGAAAATTGTTAGAATTAGGCTGCTAAAGCCAGATCAATATATCTTACAGTCCTGTCTTCTATGGAAATCCCTCATATGAACACTGTTCAGCAGGGCTCCTCTAACATGCCAGACAATGCCTATTTCCTCACATTTTGCCTTTCATCCAAACTTCCCCTGCTCCCCAACATGAGCAGCAGAACTGAATAGATGAGCTAATTGTGAAATAACAGGCACACTCCACAAAACTACCCATGGTCTGTTCTTCTTCCTCTTTCTCATCTGAAGCAAGAAGAGCCCCAAGTTTCTTTCTGACTGAAAAGATCAGTTACAAATGCTAACAGAAGCTGAGAGTTTGAAAAGGTTTAGCTTTCAAAGAAATAAAAAATCACATGTAAAATTTGCTGAAGGTATTCTTACTTGAACTAAATAGTGAGGGCCAAATTTTGCTTATTTTTAGAAGAAAAAAATAAAATTGCTGTAATTTTGAATTAGTGGTTTTTGGTTTTTTTTTTTTTTTGTTTGTTTGTTTGGTTTTTTTGCATGCAGAGAAAATGAAAAGGAAGAAACCATACGTCCATAAAAAAAAAAAACAAAACCCAAAAAACCCCCAAAAAACAACAAAACACCAAGAAAACACACAAAGAAAAAAAAAAACCACCCCAAAACCCAATGCCTTACAACCCAAACATTTTAATTAGCTAGGCTAAGTAGAAAGGCAGGTAACATCTGATCTCCAGATCTGATTAATTCTGAAAATTTCAGTTTTCATTTTAACAATCATAGTTACAAGGAGTTCTTAAGACAAGAAGCAATTTCAAAGTATTAATATACTGGAGCATAACAGTAATTTGTACCATTCAGTGCATAATGCTTTTAGAAAAGCTTTACATTTAGAGCAGAGTTGGCATTCCTGTCTGCAGATAATAATTACTGTGACATCTGGTATGGAACACAAATATGGAAGAGCTCTTAAAACATAAGGTAAAATAACAGAGATCCTTTACTTGCTAAGTCCAACATTACCATAATTTCATCAGCAATGACAAAACAGACTGATAGAAAACCGATTTATTATCTAAACCACTAATTAAACAAATCAAATGGATCATGTAAAAGCTGTGTTTGGGGGGGAAGTTAAGTTCCCATAATTAGTTACAGATGGCTAGTGCAATTTGCAACAAAAATCTGAAGTTGTTATAAATTTTTGCTGTATTTTTTTCCTATGTGTTCTTTTTACATTCTCAGTATAAAGTAAGGTAACATATTAATGTATGTACTGCAATGAATAACAGATATAACTAATGACTGAGATAGATAGATAGATAGATAGATAATTGAGTATATCTGGCCTCTATGCAGCAAAATTCTAATGTACAATTCATATCTCTCTTAGATTGTTTATGGGACACTAGTGACTGCTTTGCACCAAATATCTTAAGTAGTCAATTTCTGTGAAATGTGATATGAAATTTCTATTTTGCTTGCTGAATAATTTTCCATTAGAAGTCTGGTGCAGAAAAGTGACTTTCTGACCACTAAAGGAGTATCTTAGCATACTGCATACCTATCAAAAGCAAACTCAAGGCTCAAAACACATGATCTTGTTCCTATGATTTAGCACAAGGCTTTTAAATTATCCCATTTCACATATTAAGCACAAAGACCAAAAAACTTTCCTGTCCATTTCCAAAAAATATTATGGAAATTCCTAGGAGAGAGCGCTGTCAATTGTTCTCTGGACAGAAAATGCATAGTCAAAACAATAAGACATAAAAGAGCTCTGAAATAAACCTTGCAGTAGTTCCTCAATAATTGTCCAAAACAGGCATTCAGATTTGGGAGAAAATCTCTGATAGTAAAGTGGTTAAAAAAAGGCACAGTTGCTTTAAAGGTATAAATGGATGCAGATATGAATGGAAGGTAGGAGATGAAAATATAAAGTGACCTCAATATGTCATGTGCACAAATGAATTAGTCTTTAAATACCTCTCTTCTTAGTCACTACCTATTTCTTATCCAAGAACCTTTTATCTGCTCTTTGCATTATCTGATCAACCTGCTTAGTATATTTATTGGTGCTTAAAAATCAGGAGTCTTCCTTGTCTTCATGACGCTCACTATATTTTTAGAAAATGAAGCAATTTGGAGCACTTAGCTTGATCATCCAATACACTGGGCCAGACTCGCCCGGTGACACTGTTCTGTCACAACGAAGAGTGTGCCATGTCCACTCACTTGAGATCTTTTTAGGTCACTGCTCATATTCTGCATCTTCTGATAATGAAGGACAATGATATATATCCATAGTTCATGGCTCTGTATGACATATATCATAGTTCATAGTTCTGTATCTGCTTTACAGAAAAGGATGGACTTAGGGTTGTTATTACTGACTTGATCAAACTTTCTCAAAAGATCTGGGTTAATGTATTTTCTAGGTTTTGCTAAACATGCAGTGGTTTGTGTTGCTCTGAGCAGAAGCAAATCCCCACGTTAATCCATTGCTGCTTTCACTCCTGCTATGCAGATGTCTGTACTTCACCTAATCAAGGCTGCCTGATGAAGAAGGCTCTGCAATTTGTTGCAAATGACATTTGGATATCTAGTGAAAGACAGGAAAGACTGCAAGGGGGAAAAGTGGTCTAGCACACATGCACATGCAGTTGACTTGTAACTCTGCTTGTGCCTCAGACTCATATTCTCATGTTCTATGAATATGAAAAAAAAATAGGTCCCCATTCAATCCAAACTTTGCAGAGATCATCATTTTTTGCAGAAGAGGGAGCTTTTTTTTTTTTTTTTGCTATTTGGGTGCCACATACACATTTTTGCTGTGATTTGCAGTAAAAATAAGTATGCAGGGCTGTATTTGTAGCCAGTGAGACCATACAAATGTTGGAAATATATTTGACTAAGCTCTGTAACTGAGCCAAAGGCATTGCAACATGGACAACTATATTAAATGGACCA